TATAAATAAACCCAAAACAATTTAAAGTTGCAACACAGACAAATATTCTATATTTAGTATTAGGTTCACCAGAAAACAGTTAAACCATTACCATATTGTATAAAAATATTAAACAAAACTTATTAACTGAAAATGCTATTGGTTTGAGTCAACAAAACTCTTAGTTCTATTATACATATGTATACTGGAAATAAAACACCTTTAAAGAAATTACAAATAAATCTAGCTTAAACATCTATTTCAACTTTAAAAAGAAATTAAACTAATTAAAATCATGTTTAGTACTTTTCTCAGTAACATACACTATGAATACAGCATTTCTAATTTATAGCATATACAACTGTATAACTCTTCACTCAATTTTATATTCATACAAGTTTTAGATTGACACAAATACATGCACACAGAAAATTTATATTTTATTTTAATACACAAATGAGCATTTAAAATATAGTAACTACAGTTAAAATAATGTATGCATGTTCTTACTTGTATACATATCAACACCTACTAGTGTATTACATGTACTTATGACAAATATTACAGATACAAGTAAACACAAACAAGAGCTCTTACACACAATGTAGGAAGAACTATGAAATATTAATCTACACAAGTATACACTTCTTTCAATCATTATACTTGTAATATACAAGTTATTAATGTTTACAGTTTTAAGACATTTTAACAATTTATAACTGCAAAAATACATAAAAACACCTTGTGTATATGTTTATATATATATATAACAAAAACCAAACGTTCCTTTCTAGTTAATGATATTACATTTTTTTGATGCTGTTGGATGCACAAGTCTGTGCATTTTCAGTGGATATTAAGTTGAATTGAATTTAGGGCATTCTTTTATTTCATACTATAAGAATAACATGCAATTTGGTGTTTCAACCTCATACTTCTATCTTCATATTATCACTTTGTATTATTTTGATCTATCAATGTTTTTGCTGTTACCAGTCAAGAATATAGTTGTATTTACTAATGGATTTCAAAATTTTACTAAGAAGAATTCTCATGCTACAACTATACCAGTTCCTTTGCTGTAAAAACAACAAAAATAATATTACAGATGCTTAATACATGAAATAAATATCACTAAAAGCACAATGTTAGCACCTTTTTGATGGGCCTCTATAAAATCAAGTAATGCCAAATTGACTAGCTTAATAAACAAGTGATAGATATTTAGAATAAAAAATTTTATTTTTTATAAATTTGGTTAATAATTTAGTGAATTTCCATTAAATATGATCAGTATATTAATGTTATTAATACAGTTTATGTTATTTCCTCCTCTGTTTTCCAAAACACAACTAATTAGTATATAATACATAAAATTCAAACTGATTAACCTAACCTTAAAATACCTCTTAATGGATCAGTAGTAGGCTTGATGGCTTATAACACTGAAATTCAGGATTCAATCCTTGTGGTAGGTACAGCAAAGATATATTCCGTTGTACGTACATAAGTGTGTGTGTGTGTTTAACAAAAAATAAATAAAACCACGAAAATAATTGCTAATTCCATTTGAATAAACAATATAAGATGGTGTAAGATATACTAAATGCATATACAACTTAAAATATTAAAGCATTCAAACTTCAATATTTTTGATAGAAAATTTTTGCATGAATGAAAATTATGGCCCAAAACAAATATGAAATGTTGTCTGTTCTGAAATCCACAATAAATGTGTTAAACATATATTATATATAATTTATTAGTAATAGAATGCCCATAGAATAAGTTCAACAAACTAACCCTGTACAGGAAAGTAACATTGACCATATTTGCAAATTTATCAAGTGTATCTTCACAAAATGTGGTGAGCTTTTAATCAAAATTACAAGTTTGTTGTACATAAAAAATCAGATGTGTTCCTAACGTTCTTGTACCAAAGATATGTCTGTGAAATGCTGAAGTCAGTCTAATTCAGACTCTGACAACTTGGAATGCAAGATAATGTTCATATGAAAAAATATAAATATTTTTGTCCATTGTAAAATTTCTGAATTGCATTTGCATAACCTCTTCAACCTCCTAAGTGCATATTTAAAATTTTCTGTATCCCTGTATGTTGTATCTAGTATTTTCTCTAATCTAACAGGACCTGTTGCAAAATCAACAATGTAGTGTAACATGAAAAGTTGGTAACTCTGACAACAAACACATAATACTATGTTGAATGGCACACTGTATGCATGTTTTGACCCTCACAGGAAATAATTAGATAAATTCAAATTAAATTAAACTCTTACTTATAAGTCATCCTTGTCTTTTAAATAATAAAAACAAAAGAACTGAAGCAGATAAAACGAAACAGTGGTATATAAATAGAACATTAAACTAAAGATAATTTTTATGTAATCAAAAATATTGTATTTCTAACTTGTAAAGATCTAAAGTAGTTAATTTAGAATTCTAAAATTACCATATTTAAAACAGTTGAAAAAATCTTGAATATGGAAGAAGAATAAGATATCTGTGTTAAAAGGTATTCTGAAATAATTTGGAATGTGCTGTGAAATCCATTGTTTTTTGCAAAATTATCATTAGATGTTTCCCATAAGTTTCATTTCATTGTAATTAAATTATTTTTATTCTATATCAATTTTAATAATGAGAATTTTCATAACCAGTATAATAAAAACAACAAAAGCTACAGTGTGTACTTAAAAGCTGAAGTATATCTTAAGACATAAATATAGCTAAAAAAGCAATAAAAATTGTTAAAACATCAAATACATACTGTATTTGTAGAATTTTCTCTGATACAATTTTTATAGGATAATAAGATCTTCTAATTGTAGTTAATTTATCTATCCATTGAATATGTAACTACTGCAAATTATATCTATCTTTTACTTAAGATATCAATTCTTTAAGAGTTACAAATTATATGTAATTCTCAGCTGCAACCAAAACCAGATATCAGAATATTTCATTTTGATGTATCATATAAAATTAATTTATAAACAATAAATTTTGATTAAAATAATTAATTCATCATAAATCTAAACAAATCCCAGGCAACTAAAGTAATTTCAAAATTCATAATGAAAAAGTTTCTGCATAGGATAAAACAATTGACTTCAACTATAGCCGAGAGGCTAATACACAATTAATCAATTACATTTGAGAATAGATCACCCAGATTGGTGTCATGTAAAATAATCAGTTAATCAAAGTTATGATTAAATCATTTAATGTCATGTCAAAATTAACTGATTGAATTTAAGTGTTTCCAATCATTACTGTTTGTGATTATTCCCACTACACAAGTAACTGAAATATTGCCATTATGCTTTCTCGTTATAATTTTCAAAAAAATTCAATTTTGTTCAATTTAATCGATTAGCATCATAACTCATGAAAATAATCAATTAATCAAAATTTGTATTTTTGAATATTACTATTTTTAGTTGTTCCAACTATCCAAGACTCATGTGAATAACTGATTAAAATTGAATGTAATCAATTAATCCTCTCCAGACAGGTCACAGGTCAAAGGCCATGTCATCGCATTTATTGATTCGCATTCAAAATTTTATTGAACTACTATTTCATGAATTTATGTCATTAAGTTTGGTATTAAACTGTAGATAATTTAAATGTTAGTATTATACATTATTTAATTAATTAACTTAAAAGTAAATATAAAAAAAACAGTTAAACATCAATTTTTGTGTGTCACGTGGTATGTTTAATGCAACACAGGTTCAAATTAGATGTTTGTGATATCAACATACAAGTCTATAGACTTATACGAATTTTGAACTCAAATTACCGATATTGACAACCTAGAATATAAAATAAGAATCTCATATTTTTTCTATTTGCCGAGATATCACTTATGTACTGAATCAAACACACTGGCCCCACTCACCTCTTTCAATTTATGGAAATGGTCCCTTAGATACACTTACTTCAATATGTGACATGTTAATAACCAATCAAAAGCTCAGAATGTCCCCCTAATGGTTTTCTCAGCCATTTTCATGTGTTAGGATGCCATCTCATTTTTTCGAACCAAGATTTCAATAAGGTAGGTTATGTCTTTAGTCTGCTCAAAATTTCATATTTTTTTAAGAGTAAAATACATCTCAGTTACTAAGCTTGATAAATTATAGTGGAATTCTGTGGTATTCATATAGTAATTTATGATTTTTGGTTATTCAACTGTATATATAAAATCTAAAAAAAAATTATTGTTTCATATCCTCCACATGCAAAATTTTAAAAGAGTTAGCAACCTATGTCAAGCAGCAACCGAATACAAAGGTCGAAACTATAAGAGGTAATTGTTTGCTTTATTCTTTATTTACCTTTCTATGTTTTAAGAAAAATAAGTTTAAAAACTTATTTCAAAATACAATAATCTATATACATATATAATGTATAATAATTGAAATGTGACTGTATTTAAAAAATACAACTACTAGTCGACAAAAACACAGCCAAGACAAGTTATTTTGTACAGATCAAAGGTCAATTTTATGTTATTTGATACAGTAACATGAGTGCACGTGAGCCTCGTCATTTTAACTTCTGTATTGTTAGTCAGGCATGGCTGAAAGGTAAATATAATAAAAATAATAAATATATGATGTTATGAGATTTAAGCTATTTAGTATAAACATTAATGTTTTTGTGTTATAATTTGTTGTCATTTTAAAATGAAAGAGGCATAATTTATATTTATTTCCTAATTTATTTATGGCGGTTACAAGATTGGTCAAATCTACTGAACCTGTACAGAGATTCGTTATTGAAAATAACATTATAAATATTTTGCATGTGAAATTTGAAAATTTTCTTATGCACAAAAATATTTTTAATCTTAAAATGAAAATTACTTAGATATGCAACATGTGAAAAGAAAAAAAAAAGGCATGAGAAAACATTGTTTAAATCTTAAGACTTAATAAAAAATTTGATATTTTGTGTGAGAAAGCATTGTAATGCTTACTGATAATCTGCCAAATCTTGTTAACATACACTTACTACTTTAAATGTTATAGCATGAAAACTGTAACAAGCACAAAATGGTTACGAGGTTGGTTCCAGGGTCCAAACCCGTGCTGAAAGAGTTAATGAGCTAAAATACAATCACAGATATACTTACATACCCACTAATAATCTATTTTGCAGTTCTTGACAGACTATATTATGGAAAAGAAATGAAATATACTTTACATATGTAATTGTTAGTCTTTTTAGGTTTTTGCTGAAAAACATTTACAGGATTTTGTCATACACCAATCAGACCTTGTAACCAATGCACATGATTTTATATAACATCCTCAGTGAAATCAAGCAGAATTTTCATCATGAATGATGAGCTGTGAAATAAAAATATAAATAACTTACAAGCTGTCCACAATACAATGTAAAATACATATCACGTACATTTTCAAAAAATCTTTAGTTTTAAAAGCTGGATGTAACTTAACATATATGTAGAACTCCAAAGAATTAAAACATAAAAAAAGTTATTTCACGAGCTCCTCGAATTTGAGTTTCATCTAGAAATTACAACACTACCTTTTATCTGTTCCTATTGATTTTATTTATTTACTGAGTACTACTAAATTGTGATAAACATTTAACCCTCAGCTAATAACTGTATCACTAGCCTTCAATAAAAAACATATAATAGTATTAATTATTCAAATCGATGTTTGCTTTTGATCCTGAGAATATTATATGGAAGAGCTAAAACAAAAATTGAATTTTTTGAACAACGTAATATGGACTATCTAAACGTAAGGCAAAACTACAATAAAATCATTATTGCTAGTTGATAAGCAGTAAAACCTTTTAACTCTTGCGTTTGTTATTAACCCTCGAGTGATGCATCAGATGGTCTTTCCTTGGAGGATGTTTAACACTAGCTTGCATATGACAAATCTGATTCTGTCTGTCAAGGTAGGACTTCTGTAGTTGTTTCTGCTCATGTCGCTTGCGAGCTCGCTGAGCTGGCTTCACATTCTCAATAAATTCAAGTATATCTAAAAATCAGAAGAAAAAAAAAGACTTACATATAGAAAAAACTTTCACATGGAAAACCTAAAATATTTTAGACAGCCTGCTACATATGATTATGGAATAATACTTAAGTACTTGTATTTGCAAGAAGAAAAATTACAGTAAGTGAACTGGAATGATACAAGGAAGCATGCAATCCTATGAAATGCTTTTATTTAAGCCAATGTTAATTCAGAAACAAAATCTGAATAACACATGTGGTATTTCATTAGATATTTCATGGTAACTGTTAGTTTGTTAAGATATATTATGTGAAGGAAGCAAGCTAGCAAAACATTAGTATTTAACTGTGCTCTAACCTTAGATATCTGTTCTTCAGTAAATTTTTGTTCAGCATTACAATTATAGTTTGCTAATTACAACTTTCATATCTTAAACATGTAAGAATAAAAATTTAATATTAATTTATATCACCTAAAGATCATTAAGAAAATATTTATTATAAATGAAATCATATTTGTAGGTAAGCCATATTTTACAGTTACCCATTGTCATAGTTACAGCAGAAGTTTGTTGTCTCCTTCTTATTCTTCTGTGAAACCTATCCACACATTTATTTGTTCTCCTGTTAATTATCCTGGTATCAGATGCTACTGATTGTTGTGATTCATCTTCTTGAATGATCAAGGAAGAAGTTTCATCCTTTTCTGCATCAGTTTTCCGAGAGGTATAAACCTCTTTATTCACAGAAGACAAAACTCGTAGATAATCAGATCCATAAACACTCATACTGGGATGTTCAATCAGTAGGTTTTCCAAAGGAGATGTCTCTACACGAACCAGTCCTCTAGCAGTAAAACAAGGAGGTGGCGTAATGTACCAACTCCCATCCATCTGAGTTGGACTTACAGGACTATCTGGTAAAGTTGTAGCCAATTCTACTCTTTCTGGAAGTTGAACAGAAAGAGAAGCGGAACCACTAACTTTAGGGCAAAGGTGTTTACATTTCATATTTTCATTTTTCGGGGCGGAGTGTAGTTTAAGATCCACTTGATGCATGGATGGAAGAGCATTAGATTCTAAATAACATTAAAATTTAAAAAAATTGGAGTTAATTTATTTTACATTTGTTACTTTTTCTCATTTGAAATACTTCTCAAAGTAATTAAGTTTGTCATATCACCTATGCCTTAAGCCATTACATGTACATGTTTCATATTATACTGAGAAGTCACTAATATGACTTCAACTTTTACAATACTATACTTCTCACTACTAAACAAATCCTATTTATTAAATGCTAGCTCAAATATATTTACATATACACACATACATATATGTATACTTGTATATGACATGCTTTTACTACCAATGCTTGATGTTCTCATCGTTGTGGTTCAAATAATGTCTTTGATTAAAAGATCCTTATGTAAATATTAAAAACTAGAGAAATTAGTAATGAATAAAACTTGTCCCTATAATAAATTAACTGATAGCAGAATGTGAACAAAGCTTTTTGTAATTATCTATGCTTCACATGAAATTTATTAAGAGAGAAGTAGTTTGAAAACTTGCATTTTATAAACAATAGTTAAAAATATGAAATTTTCTAGACTTAAATTTTAAGAATTATATGATGGAGCTTATATTTGGTAGATATAAGGTAGTAGTAATTTGAATTATAAGACTTAAGCTTAACATCAGAAGCATAAAAAGACAAAAACTGAAATTAAAATTACCAACAGAGAACAGTAGAAAAGAGATAACAACAGACCATATCCACAAAGTCCTTTATAGTAATAGCACTACCTAGATCATAAAAGTTTTATACTTGATAGTTTGATGGGGCAACTACTATATTTGAAATAAATTTCACCAACATCAGGACTTGCTTTAAGATGTAAAACACTGAGACATACATGTATAAAAGAAAGAAAGATAAGAAATTTAGAAAGATTGGAGATCTCAACAATTCATAAAGCTAAAATATTATAAAACATCTGAACATTATAAATAAAAGTTTAATAAAAAAACGAAAAACTCATAATTTATTCACAAAAGTACAAAAAACAGGATAAGTATTATAGTACAGATCCCAGAAAATGGAAAATATTTGTGTTATACTAGGGAGTGATACACATACAGAAAATAAGATATAATCTACTGATTAGAAATATAAGTAGTCAGAACAGTGTTAACAAATGCATAAAAATTAAACTTGTCCTTTAAATACTTTAAAAAGCATAAAAAAATGGTATGATTTAGTAATGTTCATTTAAGTAATCCATTACAAGATAATTCTATGTTGATCACCTTCTTTTCCAAGTTTACTTATTTTCTATAAAGGTTGAGTAATTATAAATGAGTATGGCATGCAGTACTTTTGACAGTTAAGTAGTGCTAATGTTTCTTCCTAAAATTATATTAAGTTAATTTAATATTTAGGCTTTTAAGTCAGGCCAGTCTTAAAAAACTAGTTTTCTTGCCATTACTAATCATTCCTAGCTGAAATAATATTGTTCTATATCTGTGCTTTACAGTGATAAGTCAGTAATGTGCAACATTTTAACTACATTATTGATACATTCCACATACAGTAACTTGTATAAATCTGTTGTCAAGTATGTAAAAATTGAAAAATTAATATTATTCTGAATTTTCACATAGAAATGAAAGTTATGTAAATATATGTATAATGTCATATCATACAGATATTGATATTTCCTGTAACCTTTTTTTTCTTAACCTAATTTTTTTTTCACATAAAATACCTCAATACATTATGAAATGAGTAGTGAAGCATTCTGTTATTCTTTACAAGCTTAATGTTATCAATCATCCTTATAATATCCCCTAGTTACATGACATTTGTTAAAACAGCCAAGATATACTTTACTTCAGTTAATAATTAGATAAAAGAACTAGTTACCCCAAATATCTACAAGAAGCCAATCATCTTCTGTTTCCTTTGTCATGTAAGATGTTTTTTCTTCATTCTTGGATTCTGGAACCTCTTCTCCTTTAAAGAAATAAGTTGCAATTCCACCAAGCATTATACACAGAAAATGTACTTGATCCTTTGAGGGTTGTCCCCTAAAGTAAAAATTAGCAAGTATTATTGAAACAGAAAGAACAATATTGTACTAACAGTAAGACCGACAAAATCAGTTTCAAATATAGAAAGTGCAATCAGCAACCAAAGGAATGAAATGATTTTTTATATACACTAAATTTTCCTTCAATACAGTATACTACAAAATCTCATTTGTGTCCAAAAAATGTACTTTATTTATAAGAATATAAAATGTACCAAAATATGTTGACATACATCCAGCTGTACATTCTTTTAATAAGACATGTGTAATTGCTTACTGTTAAGAGGAATTCCTGCCCAACACATCTACCACCATTTTAGATTTCCTCCATACTTACACACCGAATTGGCAAGCATTTTTCAACAGAATACAACTAAATAATCCCACACATATATATCAGATTACCATTGTAAGGAATATTGGTGAATTTATTCAAGTACTTCACAAATGATTTAAGACACAAAATGTATTACGCACTTATACTTGTGTGGTATTTGAATATACCATGCAGTATATTCTTCTGGTATTATAATATTTATTCATTGTTCTGTGGTTGAGAGAACCTTTAAGTAGATTTTGTTGAAAGCTACTTTTGTTGTTCTTGGAATGTTTTATATCTGTTAAGAGCCTGGAGAGGATATTGCTGAATACATGTTTAAATATATCAATAGCAGTATCTTTCAATGGTAGTTCAGGTGGTATTGAAAGAAAATTATGGCTCTACCTAAACTGTAATAAGAATGAGTAATTGTAATTGTAATTGAGAATGAGTTAGTGCTAATTTCTATGGGTAAATTTGAAGTTTATTGCATATTAAGAAATGTTAGATATTGTCAGTCTGGCCTGGAACATCATCTTGATCATTATAGTCTGCTATATGGATTCAGCTTGAATAATTGAATGCTAAAACAAAACTGTATTTCTGATAGATACTCACATCTGCACACAGAATAGCTTGATCCTTTCCATGTCTCCCTATGAAACTTGCATGCCACTGGCCTGAAGCTAATTCCCACCTAAAAATCAAGTGATTAAAGTGAACTGCATCTGAGCATGATGATATCATTATACAATGATAGCCTTCCACCAATAAGAGGGTGACACAACCTCCTTGCATAGTAACTCCCCTTAAGCATTTGCACTCAAAATAACTTCATTCTAAGATGAGGCAAGAAGAAAGAAAATGCATTGGAAGTGGGGAGGTAAGTATCTAAGTGAAAGGAAATATTTTTTCAGGTAAGAAAATGTTAACTTCCAGGAAAAGACCTCACCTCTCCACACACACAGTAGCTAGAATCCTGCACTGAAATGGTGGAGGGTCTGGTGAAAACTTTAAACTTAGATGATCTCCCTTCAGAAAGCACTTGAAGGAAAAGCTCATGGAGTGCAACACCTAATGGCAGGAACTTCACAGGGGCACACCTATGACAGGTATGTCATCTCAACTAGGGAATACTCTTTGCCTGCAAGGAAACAGAGGGAAAAGCTAAAAAGCCCCAAATTTCATAGGGATGAGCAGAATTAGATCATGACCAAACAAGCATGTGCACACAAGTGGTCGATGAGCTAAGAAGTATTGTGTGAGTAGGGCTCACTCAGACTGAACGGTAGGTATTTTATCTTGATTCAACCAGATAGATTGATTCTCTCTACAGCAGAAGATCACACTAGCTCTATGAGAGATAATCCACACTACACAGACAGTGTCACAACTGCACTATATCCCATTGGTGCTGTGCACAATCAGTGTGGAACCATTGAACGTACATCACCCCAGTGATTAGAAATTGATAAGTGGCTAGGGTCTACTGTGTTCCACTAGAAGGAGAAGTATTTGCAATGGCAAGACCCAGACAAATGGCTGAATTTTAATTGGGTGCTTGCCAGAAAGGTCTTTTACTGGAAACAGTGCAACAGGTAACTGTGAAACCCTATTTTTAAAAGCTGGCAAGTGTGAGTCAAAGAAATGGGAAGTCACTTCCCTGTTGCTGGCTTTTTCTATGATAGTCCATGGATTGGTACAGTCTGAATCGGGCAACTGAGTAATTTTAATACCATGAGG